CTGTTGCCATCCACAATTCATTTGCCTTTGTTGACACTATTCCCGACCTCGGCATAAGTGGTTTTAAATGCCGAGAAGATCATCACACTGTTAAATACGCAATTAAGTTATGCTCTTGCGGAAAGAAAGCCTGCATGAGTGCTGTTTTGTTAGGCACGGAGATAAAATTCACTAAAAGGACTTTGGTATTGAATACTGCTCCTCTTTATATTTCCAAGAAACGGTTAAGTACCGCTATGTTTTTAAGAACACAAAGCGGAAAATATTCAAGGAAACTGCCGACAAATTCTGGAAAAGAAAGTAGGGAGGGAAATGTTTGTTTTTTGTGTGTTTGTTTTGGAAAAATTTTGTAGTTTTTCAAGCGCCACTGGTCCGTGACTAAAACTTACGCAGTAGCTGCAATATAATAATATAAAAAATTAGCAGTTGAGAACGTAGTTTTGGATGTATTTCTAACCATTTCAGAGCAAAGTCTGAAATAATTGCGCTTCCGCGCTCAGTTAGCCCCCCGCTAAACCAGTCATGCCATTCACTAGTTGCCGGGACATATATAGAACGAGACATGGCACGATTATTTGTCATTATGATAGTAAGTCCTTTATCCTACCTGTCTGAAGTTCTGATATTTTCACGATAGCTTTAGTTGTCCAATAGCAGTTTATGAACCAGGAATTGCACAATTATCTGTTCGAAATGTGCACATTTAAAGCCTCAGGCTCGAAGAAACTAACAGGCCAGCTGCCTCTTCAAAATTGTCTCCAAAAAAGGCGCGCACGCGGTTTCTACTTGATTTTCTTTTCTTTGAGTTAGTCCGCATATATTACGTTGTGCATAATTATGTTTAATTATTCCACAAACTCTTTCCACCATTTACCCTCACCGCATTGATAAAATCCATAGGGGCACGGTTGACCCAACAAACCATACTATGAAATATTGAGAAAAAAAAAACGATATAGAAAAATTCAGTTTCTAGTAACAACGAGTCTTTGGTAAAACAGGAATTTTTTATTCTGAAATGCATGTGTTCAGAATCATTTGAATAATTATGTATTTGAGCAACATTTATTTAATATTCACTTGATTGGCTCAATTTGTTTGCTTTCAAATGTTTATTCGTTCGGTAAGAACCCTACCAGGAAAACTGAAAGTTATACGAGAGCTATTATTATTTTGTAATGGCAGATGTTTTCCCGCCAGTTCAAGAGAATTATTAAAGTTGAGTGAAAATAATGACTGTCAACAACTGTCTTCACGAAACCGCGATTTTCGAGCTTAAATGTTCTAATGAATAAAGAGAAATCTGGCTGAATAGGTTCTTAAACCATCTTTTTTATAGGAGTGAATATCAAAAAACTCAGTATTACTGAAATGGTTCATGTTCTAAAAAGTAAAGTTAAGTGCCGTAATTAAGAGATAGAAAACCATAGAGATGCTCCACTCGACCTCTTTTTATCAGTAATACGGGATCAAAGTTTGTCATTTTGTCGTTAACACCGGGAAGGACTGGTCAGTGACCCTAAGCGGAGCAAAAAGAGTTGTAATATGGTCGGTTACTTTACCAAGCGAGGTCTCTGCGCTCGACTGCATGAGGACTTTGAGAAAGTATATTTTAATGTTCTTTCGAAAGTCCTTGAAAATGCCTTGATCACTCTTTGGTCTGAAGCAGAAAAACTTCTGTTCTATTTTAGGGGACATTATAAATTACACAAATTTCCCCAACCACGCTGACCCCGGTCGTTCTTACACCGTATATATAAAATAAAACAAAACTGAATGCAAGGCTGGCACTACGGCAAAGGGCTGATTTATTATTAAATAGGTCAATATTTCGGCTAACAAAATAAGCCTTCGTCAGGGCCAGCGCCATACGTAGTTTCTATCATGTGGCGAGAGTTTTGAGAGAGTGGAAATTAAAAATTACCTGACGGTCTTGGGTTGAGTCCTGCATTTAAGTGCGAAAATGACTTTGCTGTGGGGTTTGATCTAATTTACGAAAATTCAAGCCAAATGGACAATTTTTTTTGTTTTTTAGCTTCAAACAAGCAATTTTCTATCAACCCTTTCGGTTTTATTTCTTTTTTTCAGGATTAAAATTGAATTATACTCCACGGGATTTCCGTTGCAATATGTTAAGGTAAGCAATTAACAATTGCAAAATCCCCAAAATAGTTTGATTTCATGGCAGAAGTGCGGGATCGAATATACCTCATGCAGCTTTGCTTAAGTTTTTTTTTTCTACAAAGGCCGTCGAAACTTTTGGCATGCCCTATGTTAGGTTGAGATGGCGAAATGCCATTTTGTGTTGATTTTGTAATCAAACTCAAACTTCGCTGCCAACATTTTAAAACGATCGCTAGTATTTTCGGAATCAGCCAATATAACAGAAATTAAGTCAGTAGAATCAGCCACTAGACGACATCCGGTTGACTAATCTTGAACTACGGAATCAGACAGAAATCCTTAAACACGAAAATGGAAGCAGAAATCGAAACCCTGTTTGCAAAATCAGTGTTCTAACAAATGATTATCAGCTCTACGAACGCAGACGTCTTTCCGGTCTTCGGCTTCTCTTCTTTCCGGTCGTCGCTTTTCTAGCAGCGACCGGAAATACGTCTGCTTTTGCAGGCTATAATGAACTTTAGCGATAGCAAAATACAGTCAACCCTCCACGTGCGACCACCTTCCTAATACACCAAAAATGTTCTCAGCCAAACCTTACACTGGAACCTCTTAGAATAAATATACCACTCCGTTCCAAGTTGAATTGAAAAATTTCGTCCTTGCGCTCTGACTCTCGTAAGCGACCTCCAAGCCTCTGCAATTTGGGTGGTAGCTTACAGGAGGTTCGATTCGATTGTAGTACTGAAATGCATGGCAAAAGTTTATAAGCTAAATCAGTAGAATGAAGACATCAAAGGAAATTTATCTTGGGAAAGGGATTATTCTTGTATCCTCTATAAAGTACTACTTGAGTAATACATTCATCTGACAGTTTTAATTCTCAGAAAACGATGAATTTTCGCCAGAAAGCTTTCGTATTTATTCCGGATACCTACGGTTCCGTTTGCTGATTCCAAGTTGTAGATAACTCAATAATATGTAGATTCATAGAGAACTTAAAAATTGAATATGGGCCTAGCAGCAGCTCATAAAAAACAATAAGTTACTCGATATCATATCATATCCAGAACAAACGTTTTTCAAGACAGCGAAATGTTTCACCGGACAATGTTCTTCTACGTGTATTCGAAATTTTACACATAACACCCATTTGTTTGAATCAAGCAGTTATTTTGTCATCTACCAGCAACTTCTACGCTACCATTGCCGGGCTTTGCAATAATATGCGACCTCAAGTAAAAAATTGACTAACGTTTGCATTTTTCGCCTCCGTCAACACTCTAACGGACCTCTCAGGAAACAAAGGCTTCCCACAGCAGGTTCAAAAGGTTACGACTGTAGGTTGTAATTGGTTGATTTCGATCCATGGTAATTATGATTGACAACTAACTCTTTCGGAATATATTGTTATTTTCCTGCCATCCAACTGGTCAACTTTATCTTGGTGGCCCCTGTTATAGTAGCACTGTAAAAGCTAATAACTGGCCAGCTGAAAACCTATAGTCATGAGAAACTCGTCGGCGGATACCCTTTTCTGACCGACAGCTCTCAACTGACCAAAGTTGCAGGCTCGTACACAATCTAAGTAAGGTCATTTGTCACTGGATACTGCGTTAAAGGACGGGTAGACCAGCGGGTGGACGGACTTACGGTCACATGATTGCTAAAAATTTCTCGGGCGCATAGGTAGCCAAATTCTCTTATCCACTGTGCTCCGCTGCGCGTGCCTCGCGCACGCAAGAGTACCGCTATTCGTTATTACCATTTTTACTTAACCAATAAAAAAGCCTTGACTCTGCTCTGTTCTGTTGCTCTGTGGTGTAGCGGTCAGGAAGCGGCTAGAACACGAAAGAAGTGCAGGGAAAAACACGAGAAATAGGCGAGAAGTTTCTCCATACCTCTTGAGTGCCCTAGCTACTTCCTAAGTACTTTGTAACAGAACAGAGTATAGTCAAGGCTTCTTTATTTGTTTTATGATAAAGAATCAGTTTAATTTTCCACGCATTACTTTCTCACCTTTCAAAACGTGGCGTGACAGCTTTAGCCCCGTGTTTTATATTCTAATCGGGTGGGGGGGGGGGTACTCAACAAAGTTTTATACGGGGAGGCTCCGCCCTTACCCGTTTATGTACCATTTTTCACAAAAAAAGTAACCCCTTTCGTATACCTTCTATTGACAAATGGTACCCCTTTCATATTCCTCGTTTAGAACTTTGCATCCTACCCTTGCTTGCTTCCTACCCTTTCGTATACTTCAACGAGTAAAATTGCTACCCTTTCATATATCTGAGGCCTGGAAAACGTACCCCTTTAGGGCGGAGCCTCCCTGTGTAGGCCATTATGGGGAGTACCCCTCCTCCCCCCCCCTCGTAAAGCACACTTTTGCAACCCAATCAGGGTGCACGCAGTAGTTCTGGCCTCGGTTCCTGAAAGGCCGATTAGCGCAATCCAGGAATAAAAATTTTGTTCTGTTTTTGTGTTTACCTTAGTATGCATTATCTAGAGTTAATTCGATGTTATCATCACTGAATCTCGGAGTAAAGACACAAAAGTATTTTGTAAGCTGGAGTGACAAGTTGGTAGACGAGAAAACCTTGCTTAAAATTTGGCTTAATCCTGGTCAAAACGTAACCATTATAACCGATTATAAATTACGTCACGTCCGCCATATTTCCGCTTGGGCAATGATGGTGTCGCATACTAATCCTATGGGAGTTGAAACTTTTTGTTATTCAAATACTTCTTTATGTCCCAATATATTTGCATAGCTGCACAGGCCACGTGAGTAAAAACGCTTTTTTTTATCAGCGATTTCTTCAAAGCCACCAGGACAACATCTTTGTTCTTCGGTCCATATAGTTAGAGAAAAAAGGTAGATGACTAAGAGGCTGTCTCGAGATTTAGCGGAAGCGATTTATTATTGCAAAGTCCAGCTGGATGGAATTGTCTGTTCTCGAATGAACGTGAGTGTTGACTTTCACATGTGAATGAGCTTTGACTACAACCACAGGCAATTCATTTCAGGTACCTGTCTTTTCTTTCTTCTATTGATCTTTTTGCATGAGATAATCACTGCTCATTCTTTAATTTATAATTCGTATCGGGAAAAAAGAATTAGACAGCAGCTAGAAACGGAAAGACATAGCACAAACAAAACTGAAGCGCCTTATAAACTGAATATTAAGCGACTCTGGAGATCTCTGACTGCTCTGATCTTGATCTTCGCCTCTATCCACAGGTATACCAAGCTCGAAAGTACGAATCGTTGCTGCGTAACGTAAATTTTAAGGGTTTGAATTGGATTTTTAGCGACCGCTGCTTCGGAATCTTAAAATACAGTGAAACCTCTATTAAGCGGACACCTTCAGGGCCTTCCCGGGTGTCCGCCTTATAAAAGTTTGTAAAAATTGTGCAATGTTTGTTAAAGATTAACATTCAATGGTTACTCTGTACTGTGATAAAGTTCCATGAAGAAGTGCTGTACTTTGGTCAAGATTTTTAGGTGAACTTTGATCGTAGATGACAATCATACGGCCGGATATCGGTCTAATCTACAGTTTATTGACATCTAAATGTATTGACTTATCGACTACAGTACGTATTTCAAGGACGTAATCCAATACTACTATTGTCAATTCAGTCCGGTGTCCGCTTAATAGAGGTTTCGCTGTAGTAACAAAACAGCACAATTCCTTAACTAGTCGTAAATGCCAAGAACGCGCAACAAACAAAATTCTCCTTTATTCTTACAACTTCTGATCAGATTCCTATACAAATAAGTCTCGGGGACGTAGTGTAGAAAATACGAGTAGAAAAGCATTCACTGAACTCAAGTTCTGTTTTTCTACAGTTATGAGTGTATGAGTCAGGGAAGAGTCTGGGAATTCTTGGTCGGGGTGTGCCGCCTAGTTCTTCAAATCCTGACCCGATTTCAGACCAAAAAATGTCATTTTCCACACCCGTTTTCAGACCAGACCACTAAAATTCATACCCGTGTTCAGACCTGGCCTTTAGGCAGAAATTAACAAAATAACGCATCAAATCTATTTGGAATTCGCATATTTCTCTTTTTTTCTTACTCATTTGGAATTGAAACGATAAATACCTTCATACACTCCCGTAGTTCCCCCGAAAACCATACCCCATTCCAGACCAGAATGGGCAAAGTGTATACCCGTTTTCAGACCAAAACGGCCCCTAAACCCTACCCGATGGGTCCGCACATACCTGTATAGGTTATATAAGGGAGTACCCCCCCCCCCCCCCCNTCCTGGGAATTCTACTGTGGATTCCGGATTCCAGGTACTGGATCAGTGGAATATGGATTCCGGACTCAATCGTTATTAGTATTCCGGAATCCTTTAGCTGTATTTTGGATTCCAAAGCCCAGGATCCCGGATCCCACAAGCAAAAATTTACCCACTGACAATAAATAAAATCTAATACCTGGATCCGAAATCCTCGGTGTCGAATCCAGAATCCAACACTGTCTTGAATTTCCTTGTATGGGGTGAGGACTATCCGTTATTTAAGGTTGGTTTCCGACTCGGGTTGTTTGCGTTATTTATTTCATAGTTCAATGCCGGGCTGTCCAAACATTATAAACGGCACACTGTCCAACCTTTCGAGTATCTAAAATCGGGATTTTTAAATCATCGATGAATGACGCGAGCGCCGAAGGCGTGAGCCTCTTAGGGGGAGGGGGGAGGGGGGAGGGTTTGTTCCCCCAGAAAATCTTGAAATCTTGATTCTCTGAAACTTTTT